TAACTGACTCAGAATATCCAAATATAGCAATAGAATCTGCTTATTGAGAACTTTCTACAGATCACTTTGTACTGTTGTTATGAAACACAGAAGAAGGAACAATTAAGCTCAACCTCTAAAGTGCTTCACAAAATGAACAAGAATATGTATCTGTTCTTGACACAAGATACTAACTCAAATATGCAAACAAACTTGCTTCCTAGCCACTTGTTTCTTACTATAAACAAGATCCCTTGCTTCCTTGTCCTTGCACTTAACCTAACTTGACTACTACCTTGCTACCTGGTTACCTGGTTGTCACACTTGTGACCTAGCTGCCTTGCTTACTTGCCAAATATGGTAATAAGTGGGGTGGGATTCGTTCCTTTCATCTACTACAATCGAGCTCCTTATATACTACTCAGAAATTAATTATGTAATGTGACAATTAAACCAATGATGTGACAAAAGAAGCACTATGACTCAGTTGGAGTCAGTATGACTCAGTTCGAGTCATTGTGGCTGTGCATTCTAGAATATTCTGGACAATCAATCTTCTATATTGGAATGTTCTATTCCCATAACCAATGGTTCTGGTTCAGGTCTAGGCCGGAGTTCTGTGGCTGTGCTGCTAGAGCGGTCCAGAGCTGGTATTCTTAGCATTTCTGGGTTCATCTAGGTCTCTAGACCTATCAGACTCATATAATTCTGCTATAACTTTGGAATGTTCTCAAGTATTTAGAGCATTCAAATCATAATATTTGCTCTGTTTGATCAGTTTCTAGATGTGCTCCATTTACAGGCTCATCAGCGGCCCCCTTTATAACTGCAACTTCCTGCGGTCTCTACGCCAATTGGGATGACCGGAACTGGCGGTGCACCTGTTTATCCCAAAACCCACTGTGCATTATCAGTGGCAACCCAGCAGGTTGGCACTAATAACAGCCAGTCTTTTTTATTTTTGCCTCAGTGGTGAATGATTGGTGGAGATGGGGGTGAATATATCCAAAGTCCAAGGCCATTTTTTCGCTAAGTCCAACATGTAGGGGTGAATAAAGGTGAATAATTTGACACAGGCCATTAAGACCAAGTTCGCCAGTCATACTCCGTGACAAGTGTGACATATTGTCCCAAAAAGGAAGTTTTTACCAATAAACATGTAAGTAGGTTTTGTTGCCTATGTCCTGTTCTACAATATCATATAGCTATTTCCCTAAAAGGAAATTTGTGGTTTGTAAGGACAATCATCAAAGCATGTCACAGATTGTCACAAAATTAAAGTTGTATATCATGACTATATGAATAACTTTCATCAAGTGACCTATGCTCAATAGTAGTATTAGCACTGCCCAATTACTGGCTCATATATAGCTGATGGGCTTCTATCTTGCTTGTTACTTGAGTTAAATGCACAAATCAAGCACTAGCAAGAAGGGTCTTAATAGTATTATCAATTAATATGGATGTTTTCATTATTATCATGTGATATGATTCCTTTATTAACCATTCAGTCATAAACAAGAGAATATCTAGTACTTTAAAATTGTAAGGTGGCTGATTTGTAAACTTAGTTACTATAACTTATTGCTCCATTATGTACCCTCCTATCTCCTAGTGAATATGGCACTGACAATGCCATACATTCACTCATCAGTGGCATTTGATCTCCATCATGGTTGAAAGATCAGCACAGATCCCCAGCCTGCCTGGGTGGATAAAGCTGGAAGAGAGTTCATTTGAAAGGTATACCATCCAACTATACTTGAGCATCATCAACTATATTTTTTTTGCTACTATTAGGTTCATATATTTACTGCCAAGCATGCCTGAATACCAAGTTGAGTAGTATTTCGCTGATATACTGGGACTGCATGCATAGAATTTTATGATCTAACTTGATATGATACCATGGGATGGTGGCGCTGGGGACAATTGATGGCTGGATTAGTGTTGGGAAGATGCCGTTCTTTGGCGGGAAAGAGCCCAACTATGCAGACTTGCTCGTTGCCACATATGTCTCGTTTGTCAAGACTGCATTGGCACCGGAGAAGTGGGTGGAGCTCGCGACATCATACATGGCATGGTGAGCAGTGGGCAACGCTGTTGGATGCTCTCACGGAGTATGAGACTTGATTGTGCATGGGACAACAAAGTGACTGTTCACAATGCCAACTGTTTGGCAGCATTCTGGAGAGAGCGTCAAGTTGCTGCTTGAAATATGCCTAGCTCGATACGACACCCAGTAACTTATAAGACTAGACTGATTGGTCAACAGCGTGAGAGTTCGGGTGAGTACTTGCGCCATGAGGCGGTGCCACGGAGTGAATATGCCGTCGCCGAATACTAATAAAAGGCTGTGCGTTTCCGAGCTCGCTCCCCCTCTTCCCTCCCACCGTTCCTTGTACTAGTATACCCACTCCTCTGTTCCTTGCATACAGTGCATCGCGGCACTATAAGTCTACCTGGACCATCGTTGGCTGATACGTTAGTACTCCCAGCCCCACCCTTGATGCGTTTCCACACTGCCACTGCAATACTTGCACTCTCCCTTGCTTTGCTTGCGCAGACCACGGGCAGTGCCGCCCAGAACACTGCCATCACCACCGGGACCACTTCACGCCGGCTGTCCACTGCCCTCTTCCGCCCCGCGTCGCGGGGCTGGCCTGCATTCTCAGGTGCAGACGAGTTGGATGGCCTAAATTCTGCGTCGGAGCATGTCCGGCGCCACGGCCCGCGGCGCCGCGCGCGGTCCACCCTTGGTGTGTTGTGACACAAACTCCCGAGTTTTGTTTACTGAGGTTTGTCGTCGTCCGCAGAGCCCGCTGCTGTTGCCAGTGCATCCCCGATATGGGAGAGCTTGGTGCGCTTAATGCACCTGCCAGTGGACACACCTGTCCACCTGATTTCACGACTGTGTATAAGGATGACAGACTATTAATAGAACTCAAACTTGGACTCTTATCAGTGGATATTCACATGGACACTAACCCTAACCTGTGTACTTATTATACTTAGTGCTGGCCAGAATTATATTATGCTTGATTAAATATTGAATATATTCAGAATATTATGAGTATATTATGCCCTTCGTGGATCACTTGAATATGATTATGTTTGAATATATTATATTATATTATGACTATACTATATTATAGTCACAGAATATTCAACTATAGTAAGGTGGATGATTACAGCTATTTTCTCAGTCCATGTAATCAGTCCTAGTACTCATCTTAGTCTGAGTTAGCCGTACTTCTGATAAATGCCACATATTATCTATTATATATGGTGATTCATACATTACTCTTAGTAGGAACAAGTGTCAGGAGTGATCACTTTGGGTTAACCCTATAACATAGTGTAGGACCTCTGAATCAAGTGTCTACTGGCTAACCTGATACTAGTGGCAATGCCCCTGATTGTATTTTGAGAGTCCTATGTAACCCAGGGAGGCCCAAAAGGAAGTTGCCCTGACAATCCAGCATGTATTTTATGTTTTTGATTATTTTTTCTAGCAGCAAAATATGTCAGACATATCAAGAGATATGCATACTAGATTATAGTTGAATATATTCATAACATATTCATATTTTGCAGCTGAATATGATTATATTATACTACAAATATATTATTGGGTTGGAGCTCTGAATATGATATGATCATAATATATTATGCCCATAAAATAATATAATCATATTTGGCCAGCACTAATCCTAGGATATAAGGCAAGCTTCCCCATCCTTATGGGAACACCATTGTTTCTATGATTCTTACATCATGACATAGTCACGCCTCTCGCTTTGACCACGACGGTTGCGGATTTAACCTTTTGTTTGAGTCCCGCACACAGACAAAGGGGTATTATGAATTGGGCAATACTCGATAGACGCCTAAATCTGGCTTCCGTGTTCTCCCGAGTCCCGCGAAATGAAGCCGGCCGGGAGTGACGCGTCTCCCCGGCGGCTGCCATGCGTCCACTGCCACAACAGTCGCCTCACGCACCATCTTCACGTTGCTTCTGACCTCGATGGCGCCGACTTCGCTCCTCCTACTAGGCCTGCTGAAGGCCCAGATGCAGCTTGCGTGCCTCAAGACCAAGCTTGTCTTCTACCAAGGCTACCACGACCCGAGCGTTCCGATGCGCGAGCGGGTCATGAGTCTCGGGTACATCTTCAACTCTACCATTTCATGGCCTTTGACTGACTCAGCTGCGCGCAGACTCTGGACGGGGTTCGCGGGCGGGGGCGGGTTCGCGCTGGGTGCGCTGTCTGCGGCGATTCCACGCGCGGTCGAAGCTGCCATCCGCGCAAAACGGGTGTGTCCTCTGTTCAAGTTCCGTATCTCTCCATGTGGCATTTCTCAGCATTGCTTTGTCAGAAAACGGCGTATATGCCGCCCCTGCGCCTCTTCCGCCTGGGCGTCCTCAGCCACGCTGTTGCGCTCGGTTCCGGGACCGCCGCTGTGCCATCGACCGGATTCCTCCTCCAGCTGCTGGGCATACCGTCGGGCGCCGCGCCGCAACCCCAGCTTCTCGGATGGTCCGTCAACTCGGCACTCACAGTCCTGCTCAGCGCTCTCTGGGTCCTTCCTGTCCGCGTGCGCATCGACCGGGCATTTGCAGCACGTGGCGTGCGCATGGATAAGGCAGCCGATAACGTTAGCACGGCGCTCGCTGTTGGGCTCATGGGGCTCGCCTGGACGACATACAAGGATGTCATTCCAGAGTTCTGAGAAGCGTCCAATGGAATCTCATCTGAAGTAGAGATGTAGTAGCACTGTACTTGCCAAATCGCAAATTTCCCCACTCCTCAGGAGCAGGCCTGAATCGCGCAGGGGTTAGAGTAATATGGATCCGGCTCACAGGAATGCAGTGAGGTTTCCCTCGTTCAGGACAATCCACTGGAAGGTTGACAAGGTTGGATCAATCATTTATAGTGACTGGGCACGACACTGAAGAAAGGAAGTGGCTGCAAAGGAGAGTCGAAATGCAAAGAGCAACAAGAAGCGCAAAGAGCGCAAATTTAGACCCGATCCGCCCTGTTTGCAAAGAATCGGTCATCTGTGAACAGGATATAAGCCACAAGCCATACCCAGATTATAGTTTCACTCACCCTCGATCTCATGTCTGCGCTTTCTCGCGACAAATGCGTCCGCCGCATCCCAGTAGCTGTACCCCTCCAAGACGCCCTCGGCCCACTCGCGGTACCATGTGATCACGAAGCGGACGTCCCTGATGTCGGGCGGCACGCGCTCCTCATAGGCCTTGGCGGCGGAAACCTCAGAGTCGAGTAGCACCAGCACGTGCAGCCGTGGGCATTCCGCGAGAAGACGCTTGCGCGCGGGCCATGCCCCAGTCTCCCAGTCATTCACGGCCAGATGCGTCAGGGCAGGGAGCCTGCTCAGAAACGTGACAAGCGTGGCGTCCAGCACACGGTCAAACGCCTCGAAATGTGTCAGCACGCTCAGCAGCGGCCGAGCTGCGAGGGCTGCGGACATTGCGTCGGTGTTGGCGGGGCAGCGGAGCGCGCCGGAGAAGCAAGCAAGGTGGGATATGTTGTCCCGAGAGAAGAGCGAATCGTAGAAGTCTGGGCGGACAGGCACGTCTCCCAACGCGAGGCCGGTTGCATGGGAACAGAGAGTGAGGATTTGCTGGCTCTCGTCTGGGTGGGCGTCGTACATCACCAGCCGCCGCGTATACTGCGCAAAGAACACGGGCGGCTTAAGATTCAGCGGCGGGTACTTTGTCTTTTGCGTGAACTGCAGTGTGTGGTACAGCAGCGGCTCTATCCTTGACTAAGTCAGGTCTACCGGACATGGATAAGCTTGAAGGCACACCAGAGTTGCACACGTCGCGCGACAAAGAGAAGCGGGTATCTCATCGTGGCATGCAGCCCGGCCGCCATCTCGAAGATTTCGCGCTCCAGCTCGGGAGGAAGAGGGCCGCCGTCGCGGGACATGAGGGGCGAAGCCAAGATCAGGAGTGCTGACACATCACCGTGACGCGTACGTCGGGTGACCGCGGGCCGAAGGGGACACTGGAAGATGGTTGGAGCCTCACAGATGGCACAGCCAGTTCCACGGATTGTATACTCGAATGTGTGCCATTCCGATGTCTAATCGTACATAGTCCGTTGTGTAGTGTACACTTGCAAGCTGCCCCAATCCGGCGACCCAGTCCGAATGAGCGATCAAAATGCTTACGTGGCTTTTCGTCCTTCTTCTCTCCCTCCATCCAGCGCAAGCGGAACCTGTCATGCCGCCGAGCTATAACTGCCGGCGAACATCCAGCGACATAGAGCCGCCCACTGCCGCGGCGCGGAACCTCAGCAGCAGCTCTTTCGCTAGCTCCTCTGCGCGTCCCCGCCTCATGCCACGAAACATGCGCCAGAGCGAATCGGATGCCTCGTCGACGAACTGCTGGACCTCTGACCGGACCTGCGCCGCCGCCTCCGAGTTCTTGTACTCGGTGATAACCCATTGGAGATCCGGCTCGGACAGCGGTCGATTTGCCGCGCTGTGGGAAATGTGGTCGAGGAGGAGGAGACAGTGGATGCTGTATTCCAGGAAGGTGCGTGTTGCTCCGGGCCTATCTCGATTTCAGACTGACAAAATGCAGGACCTTGGAGCAGACGCACAGACGCTGACGAATCCGAATTACCACCTGTGTTATCCACAAAACCCCCGCAATCGTGGCCGCGACGTAGCCCCAGGCCCATGTCACTGCCGATCCCAGCAGCAGTCCCATGAAGACTTGGTACCGGTCCATGAAGTTGCTTCCCAAGACGTCAGTTTCCCTATCGACAATCCGACAAGACAGTCAATTGCGTACCGCAGGGACCATTTGGACTCTTCCGCACCGTCGGATAACACGGGCAGCGCGGACAGTCGCCGAACCTCCAACGTAAGCTGTGGAGAATCCCGTAGCTAGTACTTTTCAGTCAAGAGCGGAGGAATACAATGCTGACGAACGACGAAAGGATCGTTAAACGCCCACGAGCGACTCATGTCTCGATGCAATTTCCCCAAAACCGTGTCTAGGCTATTCCAAGTAACCACGGTGAATATCGCGCGGTAATATTCTTCAGGAACAATCAGAGTCGCGGGGCTTATTACATCCTCAGACGCACCGTCCATGGCCAACCTGTTCCATCCGCGATTGAGGCTGCATTCACGTTGACAGGCAAACTTCTACGTACCGCAAACACTCCTGAATTCTCTTGGACGCTTGTTGCAATTGAAACTTTGAAGCTTGAACCCCGCGTTTCTTCCTCGTCGCGCCATCTGGCGTCTGTATTGCGACAAGATCTTTCGACATTTGCAGCAGAGCGGCCAACATATCTGCTGTCTCACTGGAGATTAAATCATCATGCAGCCCTGTTCAAAGACCGTGAACTCGAGCGCAAGGGACGAAAATAATCGAGGATTCACCTGAGGTGTGTATGTGCTTCACGTCCGAGTTCAAAGCTTCCAACACATCTACACATTCTTGCTGAAACACTTTCTCGGAACGTTGTTCGATCGTTCGATCTACTCTTCTGTCGGGAACCGGCTCTTCCTCCAGACGAGCCACGAGGCGGTCGTGTTGAGTATAAATAACAATGACAGGCACTAGCATTCGGTTAGGTACGTCTCCGGAATCCAAAAGGATAATATATTCACCTGGTTTCAACTGTAGAATTTGAGACTCCACTTCGGTGAAAAGAGCAACTTCAGGTAGGGGAACCTTGACGCATAACCTACGCATGCAAGTCAAGATCGTCATGACATTCGTGATGCAAGCAACACTTACCAAACTATGTCTACACCCTCATTTAACACTATCCCATCTTGTCTCTTGGCGTCGGATGGTCGAATGAACTCGTCGATTGCATCATAGGTTTCTTCAAATACTTCATCCCGTTCATATCCGACAGAGTCGACCACTTCGAATTGCGGCTCCCTCGGAAAGTTTCGTGGCTCGAGTGGGTGCCAATCTCCTGCAGACTGATTTACAAGCCGCACATCCGATGACTGCTGCAAGATTTTAGCTATGTTCGAAATCAGGACTCTCTCTCACCTTCGACTCGATTGTGTCAACTGGGGCTCCGAAAGCTTTTCGAATCAAGGTAGTTTTTCCGACGCCCCTCTGAACAGCATAAGCAATCGCCGCAGCTGGATAATGCCCTACGCACACGTCCAAGGACCAGTACTCGGATCCTAGAAGCCTATTTAGCTGCCTGTCATCTGGGGAGGTAAGTCCGACACTAGCCTCCTGGTGGACTGGTTGGATGCGGATATCTGGCTCGCTTGCATTGGCGCGAGGTTAATGGAGCAGACGAAGGGAGACCGAAGGAAAGAAGAAGTATCCTGTGATCATTGCTAGCACGCAATCGCCTCGTGGCGAGCCCACAATCGAAAGTCGCGGCCCGTGCCTCCGTTGACAGCTCACACGAGGCCGTCCTTCTTCTGCTTGACTCCCATCTGCTCATCGATTCAGCTCGACTAACCGCACCTCTTACCCTCTTACAATGGAATCCCCCAGAGACGGCGAGAATGATCATCAGCCAAACAAAACCCCCGACGGAGCTCAAGTGCCTGCCAGTCGAGCCATGGTTGAGGAAGGTGTGGTTGAAGAGGGGTGGTCGGCTGTACTCCGAGCAAAGCCACAGTAAGCTGCCCATGTCGCCTCCCCGCGATTCCTCTTGATCCTCCTGGAATAGAGCGTTATCTCAATATCACATTCTCTGTGTTGGAAGAGCACACAGTCGAACGAAACTCTTCAAGATGTTCGCAGCATACGCAGATTCCGCTCGGGTGAGCATCATGATCGGTGGCCTCGTCGATAGACATTAATGCTGAAGTTTTGGAAAGTCTTCCGAGTCCACTACCCCGGTAACCACATGCTTCTTCGTCACTGCCAGTGTGAACTACTAACCATGTCCATAGACGTCGGCCGTCTCAAGTGACGGCACTGCCATTCGGGCATCCCCCATTGTGTTGACCAAGGACAATATTATGATTTCCATGCACGATCCAGTCCCACTCACGAAAACATCCGGTGTAGATACGGAAGAGATCAAACATTTCATACAAGTACGATCCAAGGCATTTGCACTTTCAGAGAAACTACATGCTATTTGGTCAGTTTAGTATGATTAATTTCAATTTCACAGAGGTTGAACATGTAAACAACAGGATCTGTATTGCAACTGAGATGTATCAGCCACCTTCCTACAACGAAGTCTTATTCCTCAACCGAAAAATCGCAACCTCAGGTGAGAAGAGTCCTTATCATTAACATTAGTCTGCGTTGTTCACTGGCATGGTCGCTAGTTCCGACATTCCTGGTTGTCACGAGGTTCGACGAGTTGGTCACCCAGGCCTTTATGCAGCTGAAGCCGTTGGTTGGCATCGTTGAGGCCCGGGTAAAGCGCTTTGATTTAGGAAGGGAGATCCTCCAGAACACGATCATTGAGCCCCTATGGCGGACTCCATTGCCGCCACATGGCTTTTTGATTCTCACTGGTGCGTTATACACTCACCATTGATGTACACTGAATATATTATGCTGTTATAGATGAGAATAGCACGTTCATTGAAAACCTACTGCTGCAAACCATGAAAATGCTAACTCCCAGTACCATCAATGACATGAAACATTCAATTCTTCAAAATTATGTCGACTTCAATACAGAAAATGCAATAAAGAAGTCAGGAAGTTGTCTCACTATTGGTTTTCCATTTTTCATCCCATGATAGTGTATTTACCTTTCGGCATCATCACAGATCCTTTAAATATCGGTTGGAATACCTCAGCCTCGACGACGCTCTAGGATCTCATGATGAAGCAACATTATTTGGAGACATTCTACCTTGTTTTCCATCTATTGGTGTATGTCTATTTTTCTGTAGCAAATTTTCAATCTGATTTACTGTTTCTATTCTAGCTTGTGCGTCACTAATTCTTTAAGATTTTTCATTTGAAAGTTATTAGTTTGTGAGTGATATCCTTGGTCTAATGCCATATTTGCTAATACTACTCAGACTGGATGTATTCAAAATCCCTCTGTAAGTATCTTGGCTAATTAGTTATATAGACAGCTCCAGAGCCACACAATCGCAAATACTCATCAGACATTGTTTGTCTTAATCAATTCTCAATTATTCAATTCTCACTTTATTATTGTAGTATGAAAATATTCATCGAAGGGTTTGTTTCAGCTCTTGTAACACAGATAAATCCTGGAATAAATATCTTCATTTTAGATGGTAAGGTTTCTAGGGGCTGAACAATATGATCATTACTTACATTGCTGTCACTCTAGCGCCCTTTGATCCATGAGTGTAGTAATGCATTCAGGACAGTCATTGGCATTCCCACCGTCTGTTCTCTCTCTTTGTTACTTTCTGGGTTAATATTGATTGTGTAATACAGAAAGAATGGATAACAAGTCATACACACCGTGCTGGCCATGTGGCAGCAATCTGCATCTGTATAGAGCAGGTGCTCGTTGAGCGGAGAACATCACCCCAAAAGTTTCTCTTACTATTTTAAAAAAGCACTGAAGACATACTTTGCACTGGACTGTGCTCTCAGACTTGCAGTGGATAGAGAAATAGCAAAATTTGCCCCACAAGATTTTCGGCTTGCCTACAATGATCAGGATAATGAAGAGTCCTGCAAGGCAATCCCCAAACTCATTGAGATTATCAAATCTCATCGGTTGAGTAAGTTGCTGGCAGCACCTGTATTCACTGCTAACCCGAGATAAGGGTTTCCTGCAGAAAAAATTCAATTAATCTGGAGCCCAACATAAGCATAATTTTTTTAAAAAATGGTTTTCATGAACAACACAAGCAGAGGATACAGCATAGTATAGATTGTGCTATTTTCCTATATCAAGAAAAACCGCTTAGTACAAATTCTCTGAATCATGAGAAAGTATGTTAGATTTGAAAAAAAAAAAAAACTATGAAAATGTTTAAAAATGAGTGGTAGTGATATTTTATTACTGTGGTCAGTTGTTTGATGTATCCAGGAATTGCTCAGTGAAAATATGACACTTTAGACATAGCAAGCTATATCAGAAGTTGATATCAGATAATAGATGAGACATAGTACTAAAACTTTGTCACCTTAAGGTGGGTGTGATGTATTGATAGGGAATGGAAGTAAGCAAACCCATGGGTATTACAGGTCCTGCTCTGTACCTGCACAGCCACTATGTACCTATGGTGACAAGCCTTTGGCTTGTTGTTACTTGTTTGGTCTTGTGTGTTCATGTTTGGTAGTTGTTCCTGATCTCTCCCTTTATGTGTTCCTTAGTTCCTATATAGTTCTGGCTCCAGTTCCAGTTCCAGTTCCAGTTCCAGTTCCTTCTCTTAGCTCCTAGTTCACTTAGTATATAACATCAGCAAAATCGGGAAGTCAGTACATGGTGCGGTATTGCCTTGTAGACACCACATTTGCACCTGTTTAGCCCACAAAGCACTGTACATTATCAGTGGTATGGCGCCGGGGTGGCACTGATAAGGCTCAGTTTTTTTCAGAATGCCCTGAGGGCTGAATAATTCTTGGTAGAGGGTTCAATAATGTTGAGTTTCTAAGACAATTTTTGCACTAAGTCCAGAATGTAGGGTTGAATAAAGCTGAATAATTACTACACAGGTCATGTACACCAAGTCCCCCGAAGTCATGCTATGTGACATGTGTGACATATCCTCCTAAAAAGGAAATTTTACCAATAGACACCTGAGCACACTGTGTCACACTTTCCAGTATCTATGAGAGTGACAAGGATGACAAATTTCCAAAATAGGAAATTTTCACCATTTAACAGTATGAGGATCAGATCACCGAATGTCACAGATCGTCACAAAATGAAAGTTGTATATTTTGACTAAACAAACAACTTTCATTAAGTGACTTATAGTGGTGGTTGAATGGTTGTACCAACACTGGTCAATAATTAGCTGATATATAATTGATGAGATGATAGCTTAATGACTCCAATAGCTACAGAGATGATTCAAGAACAGCTAAGGAGATCTGAATAGTAGGATTAATATGGCTGCTAAGACAATATTATCAGGATATCTTTACCATATAATGATTCTCTATCAAGCATATTGATCCAGCAATATCTCTACCAGTTCTCTATGAATTCAGCTGCTTGTTTTGCTGGTAGGTAGGCAGTTACCTGGCCTTCATATGTTCTGATGTGGGCATAGTCCTATGCCTTAAGCCTATGCTATTATACCCTTTTTCAATTGTTTTTCTGTGTTAATTTGGATCAGACATCCTGATGGCTTGATATCTAGCTCAGAAATCCATAGATAATCATGATCTAAGTTGTATTCTGCTCCAATATATGTTTCTCATAACCCTGAGAGACAGACACATTTTTAACTATCTTATCTGCCTGTATATATAATATGTATTCTGTTATCCCAGCCTTGCATTAACTCACTCACAGGTGAGTACTCCTCAATGAGATGATGGTAGGAACCATACAGAGGGGTCTCACCATGGCATGATATCCCTCACACCATCTTGCTTGTGTATAATCCCTTGTCATTCCCCATTCTATACATGACTGCTGTTACACATAGTATTGACAGTGCAGCCATGATCTGACAATTGATTACAGATCAAAATATGTCAAGTTCAGTCTATGAGCTATATACACCTACCCATATGCTCTGATTGATCCCTGTATGTTCCTGAAGGATGAATTGGGGCAGACATTTAAACAGAAGTTAAGTGCGAAACTGGTTTACATAAATAGTGGGGTCTATAGACTGAGTACTGCACAGTGAGATGCATGTATGAGGGTATTTGGATGTCTACTAGGACCCTGTACTATAATCAGTTCTGGTTCTGGCATGTGTTACAGAAGGTAGCTGAAGAGAGGTTAGGTACCTATAGAGCAGAAAAGAGTGTCTTCGCTATTACAACTGGTCAGAAATTAATTTCAAGTATGATACAAGACTTGAACATAGGATAGTATAGGACTTCAAATAAACCTGTCTAGCACTTAAATTAACCTCATAGCTATTCTGGATCTCTCACAGTACCATTATCAGTATTATCTATCTGAAAGATGATAAGTGTACCATAGCATGAGCTCTATGAGTCTGAAGAATCTGAGTATATCAACTAGTAGGGGTATGATCCACCTCCCAGAAAGTGGTGCCCCTGCCCCTCTAGCATATCTCCATCCAGGGTTATATAGCACCTAAGGTCCGCAGGAATTGACTAACCTTTACATATGCTGTCTGGTCACAAATGAGTAGGATGATAGTATAGCATCATATGTCACTATATCAGGTTGAATCATGGAATTCCATGCATGCAATCCCAGGATATCAGCAAAATACTCCCTCATTCAGTAGTCCAACATTCTTGGTAGCAACTGGATTGAGGTACTGGTAGCAGATGATATGAGTGAATGAGTCAGATAATGGCAGGATCACATACCTTCCAAATGAGTTTTTTTTTAGCTCTATCCACCAAGCATAGCTGGAGATCCATTCCCATCTTTTAGCATTGATGGAAATCAAATAATACTGATCACTGAATATATTGCACTCTTAGTGCCATATTCACTTGGGATTAGAGGTGCATAGACTTGAGCCTGAGTCTAAAGTACCTGAACCTAACAGTCAGCCACCTTACATTTTTTTAATACTAGATATTGTCATTTATATCAAAGAATAGTCAATAGAGTGGTTATATCATATGATGGTGATCAAATTCAAGAGCCAATCAATAGTAGTCTTGGAACCCTGCCTGCTAGGACTTTCTTCAGACTTGTAGCTTAAGTACCTATAAAGATAGAGGCCGATCAGTTATTTAGCAATTAGTGATGGGCACATCCCAATGCAATTACTCAACTTCTCCTATAGGTTATTTAATGAAAGTTGTTTATCAAGTCAAAATATATAACTGTCATTTTGTGACAATCTGTGACATTCTCTGTTGATTATACTGCCAAATAGTGAGAATTTCCTTTTTTGGAAATTTGTTATACTTGTTACTCTCAGTCATACTATATAAAGGTGTGGTACGGCTGTGTGGATCAGTTTAGGTGTCTGTGGGCAAAAAGATTCCTTTTTGAGAGAATGAGTCACACATGTCACATAGCGACTTGGTGTACATGACCTATCTAGTAATTATTCAACCCTATATTCTGGACTTAGTGCGAAAATTCTCTTAGAAACTCAACATTATCCAACCCTCTACCAAGAATTATTCAGCCCTCAGGGCATTCTGAAAAAACTGAGCCTTGTCAGTGCCACCCCGGCACCATACCACTGATAATGTACAGTGCTTTGTGGGCTAAACAGGTGGCAGTTGCTCCCTGCACCAGGCTCCTTTGCTGCTGCTTGAGGGTTTTTAAAAATATGTTTTGCGACCTGAGAGAGCATCAGAATAGTGAATGTAACTCATAAATCATACCATGAATAGCAGTGGGTTCTCGAGCAGCCCATCAGTCATGTTACTGGGGTTGTAGATGATCCCTGGGCGGTACATAAAAGCCGGAAACTCCAAGGCGGTACGAATGCGCTGAATGATGCTGAAACAATTAGAAGTTAAGGGCCAAATGATAGCGACACACTCTATTTCTCCGACATGTTCGAGGGGACACAAGAGTTGAGCGGTTATGTTGTTGATCCAGCCGCGGTAGGCCTTTTTGGCAAGGGGAGGCAGGTTTGGGATTGTAAGGGCAACCCCGGAGGCCTGAGATCAAGGT